AACAGAGAATGTTCTGAATTACAAATGGAGTTTAATAATCAATTATGGGTTTTATAATACTATTTTCAGCATTAGAAATGTGTCCTTTGGCGGAAGAAAAGAAAGCTGAGACATATCCTTCCCCTCTCCCTATCCCCCAAAAGATAGAAGCATCAAATAACTTTAACTAGAGGTAAAAATAAGCCAGAATAAACGAGTGAATGGAATAACTTGCCACAGTTAGTATTCAGTGTAAAAAGTCTAGTTTGGGGCTTAAAGATATTCCATTTAGAGAGTTATCAGGATTCACTGAACCTATCTAATTTTCTTCTCATTGCTCTTCAAAGCAGAGTGACTAGAGAACGATATGGACATATTTTAAATAATGTTTAATTTCAAATATAAAATTTTGAAATTTCCTAAAATTACAAATATTTTCAATAATTCGTAGTTTTATATTTGTTTGTCTACTTATTTAATATCCGCTTCTTCTGGATTTTAAGCTCTTTGAAAGTGTACTCACTACTTTCTGTTCTGTGTTTGGCCAAAAGGGGCACTCATTAACATCTGTAATGTTTTCTTTGGAGAACTATACTACTAGTTAGGTTGCTATTAATTAATTATACCTTAATCATGATATGTAACATATTTAACGTTTAGGAAGCTAACACTAATTTTTAGAAAATGTTTTGCATATTCTTAAAGTACTAAAAATATAGAATTGGAGAACAAATGAGTGTTTGCTAGAAATTAAGGAGAAGATGGCAGGGAAGAGAATACCACCATAAAGCAGCAGCTTGAAGGTGATAGAAATGTTCTATATCTTGAATGTATCAACATCAACATCCTGGTTGCTATACCTTTCCATGGTTTTGCAAAATGTTACTAATGGGAGAGACTGAGTAAAGAACACAGCGGGGGGGTCTCGTTATTATTTCTTAAAACTGATACAAATCATCTCAAAATAAACAGTTTAGCTTTTTTTTTTTTTTAAAAAAAAAAAAGCCAGATCTTGCATCAAAATCCCTTAGAGGATCTTTTTAAAAACATAGTCACTGGGGTCTCCCCCCAGAGATTGTTTTTGTTTTTTAACTGTTAGGCTCAGTCATCCAGTATTTTTTATTACTTGAGTATGCAATGAGTTTCCCATTTGATTCTAATGTATTATCAGTACTACAAAATCACAAATTTACAGCAATGATTCCCCAAGGCTGACTGCAAAAGAACCACCTGAGGTTTAATCTCAGATTCTCAAGTCTATATCCCAGAGATTTTGAGTCAGAAGGTCTGGGATGAAACCAGGAAATCTATTATTTTTAAGCTTAAATTCTGATTGTTTTACTTCTCCAGATGATTTCAACGTACAGCTAGGTTTAAAACCTCGGGATCAGAGAACAAGTATTTTTTTTCCTATGTATTGTTTAAAGGTAATTTTGAGATCTTGTTAGTCATTATTGTAGATTTCAAGTCCTTGGAGCCCAAATTAAAATGTTAGCTGTATTTATCAAGTACCAACATAAATACTTTTTATTTCCAGCCACCGTCTTTCTAACCCATTAAAGCATCTTTAAAAACACAAAGAAGCTTACCTTCTTAATTCATTTTACAACAAAGGTATTAAATTACTGATTTTTTTTCACTCATTTTAGCAGGCTGTAATTACATACCTTAAAAATTGGTGACCTAGCCGGGTGCGGTGGCTCACACCTATAATCCTAGCACTTTGGGAGGCCAAGGTGGGTAGATCACCTGAAGTCAGGAGTTGAAGACCAGCCTGGCCATCATGGTGAAACCCCATCTTTAAAAAAAAAAAAAAAATTGGTGACCTAACGCAGTGGTTTTTGATTCTGGCGTGCTTCGGAATACCCTCAAGATACAGCACAGCAGCCCTGATGCAAATCATAGCATAGCCTACTCAGTAAATCTGATTCAAAAGGTTAGGGTGGCTACAAGGAGTTTGTAAAACAAATTCTACAGAGATTCTGAAACACAGAGTTAAATTGACTTAGTGTTTTCATCCTTATCCTCTGGCTCAACTGATACACTAAATAACAAATTAATCTAAACCTGACATTTCTGAAAATATAAATTGTTCACAATATAAAAGAATATATAGGCCAGGCGCAGTGGCTCACCACTACAATCCCAGCACTTTGAAAGGCCGAAGCGGGCGGATCACTGAGGTCAGGAGTTCGAGACCAGCCTGGCCAACATGGTAAAACCCCATCTCTAATAAAAAAAATATAAAAAATAGCCAGGTGTGGTGGTGGACGCTTGTAATTTCAGCTACCCAGGAGGCTGAGGCAGGAGAATCGCTTAAATCTGGGAGGTGGACACTGCAGTGAGCAGAGATTCCGCCACCACACTCCAACCTGGATGACAGAGCAAGACTCTGTCTCAAAAAAAAAATAAAGAAGGAATTTATAATGAGGTACAGTCCAATGAATATCAGATACCTATTAGTCCAGGGTCTATCAAGACCTAAGCACCTTACTGTCCTCAAGCCTTAAGTTTCCTGGCTACATAACAATGCAGTTGTTCTGAGTCAGTGTTAGTCAAACTGTGTTCCAAAGACGTGTTCTAGTAGTCAGAAGAAAAGCTGAACAGAGCTATAGGACAGGCAAGGTGAATGGGCTCTGCTTTGATCGGCTTATATACATATATAAATAGATATATTCATATACACAATACTGCATTTGAAAATAAGTCGTAGTGCCACACACACAGAGATTTGGAAGCCATGCTTCAAGATCTTGAAATGTGAGCCACCTTTAAAGTATACCATACTGAACACATATAAATACATTTTCAGATATAAAACATTTCCATCACTACATAAAATTTACTGAAAAGTAACTGTGTTATTGGATTAGAAGATCCCTAAGATTTCTTTCAGATTGAAAATTCTACTACAGTATTTGAAAAAACACTGGGCACAAGTGGCTTACGCTTATAATCCCAGCACTTAGGGACGCCAAGGCTGGTGGATCACTTGAGGTCAGGAGTTTGAGACCAGACTGGACAACACGGTGAATCCCCATCTCTACTAAAAATACAAAACTTAGCTGGGCATGGTGGCACATGCCTATAATCCCAGCCTCTTGGGAGGCTGAGGCATGACAATCTCTTGAACCCGGGAGGCAGAGTTTGCACCACTGTACTCCAGCCTAGGCAACAGTGTAGGACTGTGCCTCCAAAAAAAAAAAAGAAAGAAAGAAAGAAAAGAAGAACATACATTATTGATCTATGGATTCTTAATCATCTTAATAAAACATTGAAAAAAATTGAAGAACTGAAGTGAAAGAAAATGCTACTACTAGAAAAAATATATTTTCGGACTCTGGAAAGCCACTAGGACTTTAGTCTGAAAATGTTTTGTAGATTTTTGTCTAGCAGGAAACTACAGTGATCAAGGAAATAATAAAAATCTACACCAAAAAAAAAAAAAAAAAAAAAAATTGAAAAATTCTTAGGTAATGCCACATAAAAGTATATAGAAACATTCCCACTCTATTAACTTCTTTGAGCTGTACATCTCTCTTCAGTAAGGAGGACACATACTTAATCTATTTCACTGATAAAAGATAATAAACTAAATCCCAAGAAAGAAAATAATGAATCCATGGTTGCAGAGATAAAAGAGCTAGAAAAAATCTTACTGATAGTACCTTGGAAGCAAATACCAAAGCAGAAAAGCATTATTATGGACAAAAATGGCAAGTTCACTAATACAAAGAGCAGAAGAAATTTACTTAAATATTTATATTGTATCCTCACACTATACTGAACAAAGCATATTAGGTGCTACAAAGTTAGTATGTTAGGTGCTAAAGATGGAAAAAAAAGAAAAAAAGAGTCAGCTTTCAAAAGGCCCACAACAGCGTTCGTAGCTAAATCAGTTCTGGACCAAAAAACTCCTAAATGACCATATTATAATGAGAAATGGAGAAAATTCCGTAAGGGAAACCAAAATACTAATATCCCTCTTTTATAAGCTCTAATTACAAACCTTAAAAACAAACAACAATCCAAGAATTCAGTTACCCACTGTCCACCAGAGCCCCACATATGATGTACCTATATCTCTTTATTTCACAACCAACATTAGTATTAGGAATTTTCACATAATTTATAAGAGAATCAGGTTTGAAAAATCCTGTCTGCAAGCTATAGTAAAGTGCTAATAAAACTGAAGGCAAGGATTCAATTCCCATAGGAAAAATCCCATGATTATGCTATCCTTCTATCTCTGGAGAACCACTTCAATGGACAACCCATTAAAATTAGGCCAGTCAAGTATGGATAAGCAAAAACAAATGGCATTAAAGCAAAAGAATTTGTTCTACGCACTATTCCTCAGAGGCAAACATTAAAGTAGTAGGTTTTTAAACATTTCTGTTTGACTTCCTCTGTGCCCACAGGGTGCTACTTTTAAAACTCTAATGTGTACAATTTATTTCTAATAGGTTACGTACATTTCACAATTTTTTCCCAGTAGTTTTCTCACAGAACAGAGGAAATTCCAACTAAAATTCACCATAATTTTTCTATCTTACAACACATTAAGATGCAATAGTTTACTATATGAGAATTCAAATATGTAATTAAATAATACAAACTAAATGGAAAGGTCTACCAAATGTAGTGGTCTTTCAACAGAATTTCCGATGTAATGGTTATCTCCTTCTTTGAACTGCTGTTGAAAACCATTTTAGAAATGTTTACTTCATTTTTCTCATGTAAAGGTACAACAGTATTTATACTTCAAGAAGGTAACTGACAACCAAATACTACCTTCAACTTAGTATTTTGAAAAATGCTATATACATACAAGCTAAAAATATCTGAGCCTGTAGAAAAGTTAGGTTTTTAAATAAATTATCAAATTGTTTCATTGTTCTTCTGAAAGCAAAGGGAAATAAAAATCCAATTAACTGGATTATTAAGTGTAAATACACAATAAATGGAAATTTCCAGAAATTTTAAAGTAGAAAATACAAATCAAACCACGGTGTTCTTACTTAATGCTGATACACTGATGGATGCGACAGAAAGTCTCAAATATGAAGAGACGGGCATTTTCAATGAAATCTTCAAGGCAAGCCACCAAAAAGAAGTCATTCACAAGTACCTATATGTACAAATACAACAAAAATTAACGATGCTGACAAGCAATTGCCTGAAACTTGAATCAAATATTTTGTCTGCTTTATTTTTCCATTCTAATATCATGAGTTCTATACCACAGCACTTTCTATAATACTGTTTTCAAATCTTTAATGATTTAAATAAGTAGTAAAAGAATGCCACAAAATAAAGACCTAAAAACTGCTATGTTTTCTTGTTCCACTGATAACTTAATAAAGTAGCCTTCTGACAACAAAGTTTGGTGCTATCCATTATTCTACATAAATGCTCTGCAGATAACATAATCTTTTCCAACTATTTAAAACAGTTATAAATGAACTAAAGCCCTAAGTATTTCTGTAACCTTAAGTAGACTTAGAAATCAGAAAGGAAAAGAATGCAAAAGGTGGCTCCTATGCCATAGATGGTATAATTAAAAGAGAATGTTTTAACTTCAAGAACAGCAACCAAGTGCTCTCTAGGTCTTTCAACAGCAAAACCCAGACATTTAGCATAATGAATATACACCAATGTTTACCTTAATAATGAAACGACTACGAAAAACACAAATTACCATCTGGATTCTAATTTTCTATTCCGTCCAATGTTTGAAAATCACCAGGGAATGTACATTTGCATGATCAGTTTTTTTTCTTAGAGAAATAAAATCTTTGTCAACAAATTGCCCATTTTGTGCTAAAATTTTGGTTCAAATGATGAAGCTGATGACCAGTAACTTGTGAATCTAGTAACTGTGACTACATTTAGCAGGTAAAATTCTTAGTTTAGTTTCTTAAAACTTGTAAACTAATTATTCAAAACAACTATAATCTAACTCTTCCACAGTTGTTAAACAACAGGAGGCACTGCAGTTATAAAACTTGTAACTACAAAGAATTGAGTGGTTTATCACAAATGTTAAATACAATCATGTGAAAAATTCTAAAGATAAGCCCACCTATGAAACAAAATTAAAAACACTCCATATATTGCAATTCAAAGTGACTTTGCTTATACATAAGAAATATTATATTTACTCATTCAAGATAAGATGTGGAATTATATCTGTGAATTTAAGTTACCCCCAATATTTTAACAAACTTCCCTCACAGAAGGGATAAACACATGGCAATAACATTTAAAAAGTCATTACGTAGCACATTCCTATTTTACGATTAATAAACATAAGCCATTTAAGTCATGACAGGGTTAATAAGTCACTTAGGCCATTTTAAGATTAACAAACATATTTTTGTTATAATTACACTTCATTATTTTAATGAAGATACTGCAAGATTAACTTTAAAATATCCAAAAATTTAAGATTATAAATTTGTAAGTAAAAAAATCATACTTACTGATTCACATTCCCTCAGCTTTTTCTGAGCCCCATCAAAGTCAAAGTTAACATATAAGCATTCAACAAATTCTGTAATTGGGTCTTTATATGTGTAAGATTCCTGTAAAAATAAATAAAGGTCAAGGTAGGTGTGGTTCAACACTGTTTAGCAGATTGCCCCAGAATTTCTCAATCTTCCTGTTTTCTGCTTCCTTATCATTAATTTCTAATCAAATTACCCAGCATCTTCTTAAAGCAATTTTGTTCCTATTTTGATTCCAGACCACACCTTAAGCTTATAATGTCTTTCAAACCAAGTTCTCTAATTCTCATCTAAGAAGCATTCTGAAAGCTTTCAAATTCCCCTACTACCAAAAGTCTCCCTTAGTCAATAAACAGCAAAGATCTTCCCCAAGCATAAGGGTATTCATTCCCTACTGAATGACAGTAACTTCTTTGTATTTAATTCATTCTTAAATAATTATTTTCCCAATCTATGGGTTTTGCTGATAAGCTCACTAAATATCAACCAGCATGGTTACCTGAACCTTTTGCCCAACTTGGGGTCTACTGAAACTGTATTGTATACAAAGTTCAGCCATCTATAACGATACAGGTAATGACCCCCCCACCTCCAGGTTCCAGATTTTCTTCACTCTTTGCAATAAGAAAAACACAAATGCGTAATGTATATTAAGTGTTAATCTAGCAGACAGTAATAATCATTCCACATCCAACTTGCGTATCTTGAACTTAAGGACAACAAAAGCCCATTTGAGGCTCTTCTCTCTTCTGAACTTCATGTATTCTTCCCACCTATGTCTAAAAGCATTTTTACCTTAAGAACTAACTCTTACTTTAGAAAAAGAGGTTAGACCTAAACCTTAGGTGCTTTTTAAAACACTCAGTGTTAATTTTAGTTTTACCTGTTGAATAACTTTAACTAGATCTTTTAGCACCTGCCGGCGCTTCCGAACATCCTTGTTTGTTATGACTGCTGTAGTCAAATAGCGAAGAATGTGTGGACACATTGTCTGAATTGCATTAAGATACCTAAGAAAAAAATATAAAAGTTATTTAATAACTTACCCAGGGTGAGTTAAGAAAACCCTCAAGCAGGCCATTAGATTGTACTATTTCACTAGTCTTAAGACTGTAGACACTTAAGAATGAGTGTCTAATAAGAGCATCTCCTCCAAGGAAATTTAAAAACAGAATTCAATTTCAGGAATCCAAATGAGAATGCCAGCCACTAGTTCTTTAATATGGAGTAAAATGGAAGACTCAATCAAGAGGCTAATTATCCTATTATTATTTTTGAGTAAAAAGGATTTTGGAAGGCTCATACGCATGCTGTCAGTCTGTTTCAAAAGACTACTAAGTGATGACTTTCATTCATCCATCAGAAAAAATGTGTGAGAATCTATGTGCAAAGTACTCATACTAGTCAAAAAATCAGGCACTTAAATAATTCAGGGGATGAAAGACTGGAAGCAATAGGGAGAAGGAATATTACAATATTACAAGGCATTGGTTAAAGTGGTACCAGTAGGAATTAGGAAGAAAAAGATGTTAGGTAAACGTTAACAGGGCCTTGGCTAATACTTAGCAAATCTTGCTGTTGTGATGATCAACTTCGGACCACCCTCTGTAATTAGGTGTTTACCCTATGTTTCTCCTGCTCAATTTCCTCAATTAGCTCCCTATTTATTTGCCCAAACAGTATTAATTTAGCACCTCTGGGTGTCAGACACTATACCAATCTCAGAATGTTTTGTCAATAAACTCCCTTTCTCTTAGGTGAATGAATACTGAAGCCCCAAACTACCCATCCAGCTCCATCTCCCATCGCACTACCACTGACAGCTCCCTCTTTCTTTTCTTAAAGTTCACTCCTCACAGATTGGTCTCCCAAGCACAAATCCCTAAAAGCCTAAATCCTAGCCATCCTTCAAAGTCCAGCTTCAACACCTTATCTTCTAAGTTCCCCCAGGCAATGATTAATAAATCTATATGTTATTATATTATAGACTCCCATAAAACATTGCTTAAACTCTTACAGGATCCTAGAATCGAACACTTAATACTATATAGTCCCACTCAGCCTACCTTGAATGCCCTCTAAAGAGGGAAAATATAAAAAGAATGTCCACTCAAAAATAAAATAATTCCTAGGAAAAGACATCAAAAACACATTGGCCAAGTTATATCATCTGAAAAATTAAGCTCAGTTTCAAATGAAAAATTTTTAAATGTGCAATGCTCATTTAGAACAATTATTTCTCTTGTCAGAGACATCAGGCACAAACACAAGAAAGCATGATTGTTTTTCTTAATATCAGTTTTAAAGTAGGTAATTTTATTTTATTTTATTATTATTATTATTTTTTTTGAGATGAAGTCTTGCTCTGTCTCCCAGGCAGGAGTGCAGTGGCGACATCTCAGCTCACTGAAATCTCTGCTTCCTGGGTTCGAGCCATTCTCCTGCCTCAGTCTCCTGAGTAGCTGGAACTACCGGCACACACCACCTCACCTGGCTAACTTTTTCGTATTTTTAGTAGAGGTAGGGTTTCACCACATTGGCCAGACTGATCTCGAACTGCCAAGTCAAGTGATCCACCCGCCTTGACCTCCCAAAGTGGTGGGATTATAGGCGTGAGCTATTGCTACTACTGAAGTAGGTAATTTTAGTTCGCATTTATGAGACTCATGATAAATTTATCTAAATTTATACACAAATATTTCTATAGGTTTGTTGTATAGTGTTCAACTCATATTTATTTTTAGTTTATCCAAAGTCTATACCATTGCACCATATATATATTCATTATTTTTACTGGAGGATTACTTATTCGGGAAATCCATTCCTTGTTTCTTAAAGTATATTCCAGAAGCTAGTAAAATATTTGTAAAGAACCAGACAGTAAATGTTTTTGGCTTTCCGAGCAAGAGACAAAATTCAAAATATTATTCCAGATACTTCTATAAAAAGAAGGGAAACAAATTTCCAAACTATAGATCTACTAATGAGGACAGTGGAATTCCTTCACTAGGAATAATTTTTCTTAATTAATTTAAAATTTAGAGGTCTATATCATTAAAAAGTATTGCAAATGTTTTTCTGATAATGTAATCTGTAATAAGATTTTACATATTTAGTCCTTGAAAATGTAAAAACAGCCAGGAGCTATGGCTCACGCCTATAATCCCAACACTTTGGGAGGCTGAGGTGGGGGAAATGCTTCAGCCCAGGAATTCAAGACCAGCCTGGGCAACATAGTGAAACAAACAAACAAACAAAAAAAACCCAAAAACTGAGCTGGAGGATTGCCTGAGCCGAGGAGGCCGAGGCTGCAATAAGCTGTGACTAACTACACCACTGCCATCCCAACGTGGGTTACAGAGCAAGACCCTGATTCAGAAAAAAAAAAAAAAAAAGAAAAAAATAAGAAAATGTAGGTTGCGCATGGTAGCTCATGCCTGTAATCCTAGCACTTTAGGAAGCTGAGGTAGGTGGATCACCTGAGGTCAGGAGTTTGAGACCAGCTGGGCCAATGTGGAGAAACCCTGTCTCTACTAAAAATACAAAAATTAGCTTAGCATGGTGGCAGTCACCTGTAATCCCACCTACTCTGGAGGCTGAGGCAAGAGAATCGCTTGAGGGACCCAAGAGGCAGAGGTTGCAATGAGCCAAGATGGTGCCACTGCACTCTAGCCTAGGCGACAGAGCAAGACTCCATCTTCCAAAAAAAAAAAAAAAAAAAAAAAAAAAAAAGGAAATATAAAAATATGCACAGGCAGTTTTTGCTGACATCAAACATCACTTGACATGCATATTATTTTAATTGAGCACACTTAAAAAGGCATTTGTAAATGTACAATTCTATAATTTTGGTATTCTCTTTTAGCATGTCATCACATAGCAGATTAATCACTTTCAATGAAATTTCCTGTGTATTTGCAATGAGGTCTAAAACTTTCTGCAACTATAATTTAATCTTGAAAATTATCTGCAGGAGATCCACGATGACCAAATAGGCACAGCTCTGGAGTGCAGTTCCCAGCGAGAACAATGCAGAGGATGAGTAACCACCACATTTCCAAATAACCTTTTACTGCCCACAGACCAGGAGATTCCAGAGCCAAAAACAACCACAAATTTCCAGCACAGCTGTTTCTGCCAGTGCCAGGGGTCTCCACACAAAAACGCACACAAATCTGGGTGGCGGTCTCAACTGATGCCTGGAATGCCTGGGAAACAGAGCCACCTAATCAACTGAAAAAAAGGTGCTTGAAACAGGAAGCCAGGAGATCATGCTCGGCAAGTGCCACACCCACAGAGACCAGCAATCTGAAACGCTCTGGATTGAGAGTTTCACACCAAGTGCAGCTGGACCCCAGATGGTCAAGCTTGGTGAGGAGAAGGTTGTCAGCCATCACCCAGGAGACCACCACTACTTAGGCAATTTGCCATTACCGAAGCCAACCGCCTTTACTGAGGCAGTCCGCCATTTCTGAGACTGTCTGCCACTACTGAGGCAGACCACCATTACCAAGACAGTTCTAACGGTACCTCTGTAAACAAAACCACAAGGAAGTTAACGCAGCAGACGGGCAGAGCCCACAGCAGCTCAGCAGCACTTCTGCTGGCAGACTGTGACTAGATTACCTCTTTGCTGGGTAGGGCATCTCTGAAAAAAAGGCAGCAGCACGTAAGAAACATAAATAAAGCCCCAACTTCCCAGGACAGGGCACCTGGGAAAAAAGGCGGTTAGGAGTTCTGCTGCAATGAACTTGAAAGCACCTGCCCAGCAGCTGTGAATGGAACAATGGAGCTCCCAGCTCAGCACTTGAGCTCCTATAAGGGACAGACTGTCTCCTCAAGCAGGTCCCCAACCCCCGTATATCCAACGAGACACCTCATAAAGGAGAGCTCAGGCTGACATCTGGCAGGTACCCTTCTGGGACAAAGACAACAGAAGGAACGTACAGCAACCCTTACTGTTCTGTAGCCACCACAGGTGATCCTGAGGCAAGCAGGGTCTGGAGTGGACCTCTAGGAGTCCTACACCAAAGGGGCCTGACTGATAGAAGGAAAACTGAAAACCAGAAAGAAATAACCTCAACATCAACAAAAAGGACGTCCACTCAGAGACCCCAACAGAAAGTCACCAACAACAAAGACCACAGGTAGATAAATCTACAAAGATGGGAAGAAACCAGTGCAAAAGGTTGAAAACACCAAATTCTAAAATACCTCTCCTCCTCCAAGGGATCAGAACTCCACACCAGGAAGGGAACAAAACAGGATGGAGAATAAATTTGATGAATTGACAGAAACAAGGCTTTGGAAGGTGGGTAATAACAAACTTTTCCGAGCTAAAAGAAAATGTTCTAACCCAATGCAAAGAAACTAAGAACCTTGAAAAAAGGTTTGGTGAAATGCTAAAGAAAATAAACAGCTTAGAGGAGAATATAAATGACTTGATGGAACTGAAAAACACAACAAAAGAACTTCACGAAGTATACACAAGTAAGTTTCAATGGCTGAATCAACCAAACACAATAAAGAATATCAGAGACTGAAGTTCAATTCAATAAAATAAAATGGCAAGATTACGGAAAAAAGACTGAAAAGAAAGGAACAAAGCCTCCAAGAAATATGGTATTATGTGAAAAGACCTAATCTACATTTGATAGGTGTACCTGAATGTGAAGGAGAGAACGAATCCAAGCTAGAAAACACTCTTTAGGATAATATCCAGGAGAACTTCCCCAACCTAGCAAGGCAGGCCAACATTCAAGTCCAGGAAATACACAGAACACCACAAAGATATTCCTCAAGAAGAGCAACCCCAAGGCACATAATTGTCAGATTCACCAGGGTTGAAATGAAGGAAAAAATGCTAAGGGCAGCCAGAAAGAAAGGTCAGGTTACCCACAAAGGGAAATCCATCAGACTCACAGCTGATCTCTCGGCAGAAACCCCACAAGCCAGAAGAGAGTGGGGGGCCAATATTCAACATCCTTAAAGAAAAGAACTTTCAACCTAG